AACTCATGGGCTCAAGCCATCCTCCTGCCTCAGCCTCTCAAGCAGCTAGGAGTACAGATATGCACCATGCCTGGCTACTTTTTTATTTTTTGTAGAGATGGTGTCTTGCTGTGTTGCCCAGGCTGGTCTCAAAATCCTGGCCTCAAGCAATCCTCCCACCTTGGCATCCCAAAGTACTGACATTACAGGCATAAGCCACTGTGCCAAGCCTAAACAAAATATTGATTAAACCAAAGTCCCTATATTTTAATGTAATACAGCATAAGAGAGCAATTTAAATGTATCCATATAAATGTTAGTCACAAGTAAAGTATTATAATAATTCTCAAACTTGTTTTTACACAACTATGTAACATCCAACATTTTTAAACTTTGCTGGGAAAATTTTGAATATTCTAAAGGCTTGACAAAGATGCACTCTGCAAATGCAAACAAAGGCACCTGTTAATACAGGTTTGTACTGCGAATTTCCAAACGTCCTTTCAGAGGAGTAAACATGGCTTCTCCCGGAGGGCAAAGAGGCTTCTCTGAACTTCCTAGCATGAGAGCCTACACACTGACAGCCGTAATTCCTTCCTCATGTGGCTCTACTCCCTTCCTGCCCTCATTAAAAATACAGACTGATATTCAGCTTACAGTCCTTTGGAGCCAGGGTTAGTGCCAAGACAAGGTTGCCATTTCAAGTGGAAACCAGGAAGAAACAAGGTAGTAAAGAACAGCAGATATCCACTTAGTTGCTCTGGTTAAGTCAGGTTGCAGAACATACACAAGTCCTAAGGGGTTATTAAATCCATGTCCTTAACTGTGAAATTTTGTATTAGAGATTACATTTTTTTCAAAATTAGAACCATCACATGAAAATAAAAAATGAACATGATGCAAAATGAGCCAATGATGTTGCTGGCAGGAAAACCCAGTGAAATCCAGGGCTAAGTTATTAAGGGTACAGTGCCCAGTCAGGAGCACTGCTTAGACCACACTACAGAACACCGTGCTGCACCCTGAGCAAAGTAGGAACCAGGCACTGACAAAAAGGAGCATGTCCACTGACAAAAAATACAGACTTTCTTTTGGAAAGGTTTGGAAGCCACAACTATGCCTTCTGAGGTCCAGGTGAAGAAAAGAGGAATGTTTAGCCTTGAAAGAAACATGATGACTACCTGAAAGAAAACATGGTTCAAGCTGTGTTTCAAATCATGGTTTCATGTGAAGTCCTCACTGGTCCTAC